AAAACTAGCTCAAAAAGCAGGGGTAAGCCGTGCTACAGCCGAACAATACGATGCTATTCAACGTAAAGGCACTGAAGAGCAAAAAGCCCAAGTTGACGCTGGCGAGTCCAGTATTAAGAAAGTCTACACTCAAATACAGCGAGCCGAACGTTTAAAAAAGAATCAAGCTACAGAATGGCCAGAAGGTAAATACAGAATAATATACGCAGACCCACCTTGGAAGTATGGAGATGAACGTTCTGGTATGGGCGGTGCTGTTGATCAGTATGATCTTATGGAATTGGGAGATATAAAAGCATTGCCAGTTGCGGACTTAGCAGAAGATGATGCAGTATTATTTATGTGGGCTACTGCTCCGTTAATGAGAGAGGCGTGGGAAGTTCTAGATGCTTGGGGCTTTAAATACAAGACTCAATTGATATGGAATAAGGGCAAGGGACCCGTGGGTAACTACTTTTCCGTAAAACACGAACATTTAATACTCGCAACGAAAGGAAGCTGTACTCCTGACGTAACAGACCGCCCTAATTCAGTACAAACAATAGAGCGCACTGGGCGTCATTCAGAAAAGCCAGAAGAGTTTAGAAATATTATTGATACTTTATATACTTACGGCAACAAGATAGAACTATTTGCTCGCAAAAAAGTAGAAGGCTGGGATGCTTATGGAAATGAAATTCTAGAGAGTCAAGAACTAAAGATTGCGGGGTAGTATGACAAAAGAACTAGAGAAAAACTTATTTGACATAGAACCAGTAAATTTTTTAGAGGATTACAAGTTAGACATAGAAGATTTATCTTATGACTTAGAAAAGGAATTAAGAGAATGCACTTTACCAGAAGATAATCGTTCTCCACTAGAGAGATTTAAAGATTATAGTAGGTCTTGTTGTAATTTATCTGCAATATGTTCTGTTTTATGTATGAACTCTAAAGAATTAGATAAATTAGCTCAATCAGGTGGTTTTAAAGATGCTGATGATTTAATGGAATATTACCAGCAGGAAACACTAGACATGTGTTTTAGGAATCTACAAGAAGCAGCAGATCGAGGTAATCGTCAAGCAAAGTCATATCTAAAACGCTACTTGCCTAAATATAAAATGCAGAAGAGGAGGTAGCTATGATACTGAGACCGAGACAAATTGAATTTGTAGATAAGAGCATTGCAGCACTAAAGGAGCATGGAAACACAGTATCAGTTGCGTTTACAGGTGCAGGGAAGACTATTTGCTTATCTGCAGTTATCAAGAAATTGGCTTCAGAGAAGGCTAATCTCAAAACTCTAGTTATAGCCCATAGAGACGAAATCACTTACCAGAACCAAGATAAATTCTTGAAAGTAGCTCCCAATATTAGTACATCATTATTTAATGGTGATACAAAGGACTGGAGCGGTCAAACTGTATTTGGCATGATTCAGTCGTTAAGCAGAGAAAACGCTCTTGAGGAGCTTCCTACTTTCGATTTAGTGGTAATAGACGAAGCTCACCACGTAACTGCTGAAACATACAGGAAGGTTATAGACTGCGTTACTAAAAATAATCCTAATGCTAAAATATTTGGCGTTACTGCTACTCCAATGCGGGGGGATAAGAATAACATTGGCGTAATATTCAGTAATTGTGCAGACCAGATTAGTTTACCAGAACTTATAGGTAGCGGTCATTTAGTACCACCAGTAACCTATCGAATAGATACTGGCGAAACTGGTAAAAAGCTAGAAGCGATTCACTTGCGTAAAGGTTCTGATTACAACGATAAGGAAATAGCAGATATTTTAGATACTGTGCCACTAAATACAAGAGTAGTGGAAGAGTGGAAGGCTAAAGCTGGAAATAGGAAAACAGTAATATTCTGCTCTAACATTGAACATGCTTCCAATGTAACTGACGCTTTTAAACATGCAGGCGTAAAAGCAGAACTAGTAACTAGCTTAATGACTAGTGAGTCAAGGCAGCAAGCCTTACAAGATTTAGAAAGCGGTAAAGTGCAAGTTTTAGTCAATGTAGCTATTCTAACTGAAGGTTGGGACTACCCACCTATCTCATGTGTAGTATTGCTTCGCTGTAGCTCTTACAAGTCTACCATGATACAGATGATAGGCAGGGGTTTGCGTCCTATTGATGCAAGCATTTACCCAAATGATAGCAAAACAGACTGTATCGTATTAGACTTTGGCATATCTACTATCTTGCATGGTAATTTAGAGCAAGAAATTAAGCTAAAAGAAGAATTAGCCAAAGAAAGAGATACTTGCCCAGACTGCAAGAAGAAAATACCTTTAAGTGCTGAAGTTTGTCCGTTGTGTAATGCTGATATTGAAGAAGCAGAAGAGCAGCAGAAAGTTGCTCGAGAAAAACGAGTATTAGAGCAATTTGTCATGGCAGAGATAAACTTACTAGAGAAGTCGCATTTTGCATGGACAGATTTAAGATTGCCAAATAAAACAATGATGGCCGCTGGATTTAATGTTTGGTGTTGCGTGCTAGAATATGAAGGTAAGTGGTTTGCTATAGGTGGAAGGAAGCAAAGTGCTGATATAGAGCTAGAAACTACAATAGTTCATAAAGGTGGTAAGTTACAAGCCTTAGCTGCTGGTGAAGATTTTTTATGTAAGTATGAGACACATGAGGCAGCAAGTAAAGTTGGAAGATGGAGGCATGAGAAGCCTACTACAAAACAACGCAAATGGTTGCCAGAGCAATTTAAGGGAGTTCGTAAGATGACTAAAGGCGATGCTAGTGCAATACTGACTTATTCTATGCAAGCATATAACGAAATCAATCAGGCTCTTAGTAGCGTTGCTTAGTTACATACTTATATAATTCAATAATTATTTTATAAATAGTTTTATAGTTATGTATTAATATAATAATATAACTTGTTAGTAATATAAATATTGACTTATTATATTAAATAATATAATTATAACACAATACATTAATTCAATAATTGTTATATAGTGATTAAACTAGTTAGTATATGGAATCCTAAAGGTGGACAAGGTAAAAGCATGCTTGCCATGAATTTAGCAGGTGCTGCTATAGAACTCGGATTAAAACCTCTTGTGATTTGCCAAGACCCACAAGGTACGGCAATGTTGTATTTTAGGTCGGGTAATATTCCATTTAGCGTAATAGATACCATACCTGATAAGCGTCCTGATGCTGATATAGTAATTTTTGATCACCAAGCTAGTGATTGGGATGTCCCTAAAAACAATATTATTGTTATGCCAATGAAACCTGCTCGTGATCAATATGCAACCTATATAGACGCTTATAAAAGAGCAGAAAAACTTAATAAACAAATTATTACTGTTGTTACTGATGGACAGGCTCATAGAGCCAGTGAAAAAGAAACTACTAAATATCTAAAAGAGAAAGGTGCTTTTGTTATTCCTTCTAGTGGAGTGTTTAGCAGAGCATCAAGTGATTACCAAACTATTTTTGATTCCAACATGAATAAGGCTTATAAAGTTAAAGAAAGAAGGATGGAAATTAGCAAAATACTTGCTGCAATTTTAATGTCTAATGAAGAGAAGAAAGAAAATGAATAATTGGATGGATGAAGAAAACGAAAGAGCCACGAGTTTAAGCAAAACTGGCAAGACTACAAATGATAAAGCTCCGAGAATACAATCAGTGTCTAAAGAGACATCTACTAAGCGTAGTATTAGGAGCGTTTACATTAAAGAATCTCATCAACGCATGTTAGATAAATTAATTTTTGAGCAAAAAATGGTTGGTGGTAAAAAAGCACCTTATCTATTAGAGGAAGCAATAGAATTGATAGCTATAAAATATAATATTAAATAATGCAGAACCTAAAAGCTATCACAATAAGAAATATTATATTCATCTATGAGAAATTTGCAGTAGAGATTTTTTCTTATGGGTAATAAGTCTAATACTTTACAAGTAGAAGATAAAATTATTGAGTAAGGTTGACATGTTGCTTTAAAGTAAAATCTAGTCAACTGTTCTGTATCTTGGTTTTAGATAATAAAACATGAATTTGACATTGTCATACGTAGTTGTGCATAATAATAAATATTAGTTTAAGTAAAATGAGTTATGAAAAAACAAGAAATATTAGATAAATTAGTATTTATAAAGATTGCAAAAATTACTGATGAGATGCTAGAAAAAATAGCGAAAAGTCAGGAAAGATCAAAAAACTTTATATTACGTAAAGCTATACGAAAATATATAGAAATTAATCATAGTCAAATTTAATAGAGGTATAAGATATGAGTAAATTAAAAGAATTATTAATTAGCACAAAAGAAGAAGTTGACCATGATTTAGTTCATCAAATAAATGAGGAAATAGAAGGGTATTCTTTAACTCCAAGAAAAATGACAAAAAGAATGTTGGATTTTGATAAACCAAAGGATGCAATACCAAAATCAAAACTTGCTTTTTCAAACATCGTGCCAGAAGAATCTTTATCAAAATTATATGCTTTATCCCTTTTAAAAGGACAGTCACAAGAATTGGTTATTGAAAATGCAAAATCAGAACTTGAAAACAAGTTTTTTAATCAAGTAAAAGAACAAAATTATATAGACAACTATAATCAAATTCTTACTGTTTATAATACGCAAGATCAATCACCTAATATTTTTATAGATAATTGTTTAGGTGTAATACGTCACGGTATTAATGTTCATACAAGTAAAGGAATTGCAAATTCTTATAATCATTTATTAAATAAAATCATAGAATCACAAAGTAAGATTTTAGAGGATATGGATAATCAATCACAGAAAGGAAGTGGTAAAGGAAGTAAAAAAAGTGGAGCTCAAAAAGTTTCTGATCCTATGAACTTTAAAATATTACATCCACTCGAGGTTGGATTATTAACAAATGCTGTAGGAGATGTTTTAAAAAATGGATATAAATCTGTACTTGTAGATATTTTTGAGAGGGATAAGTTTGGATCAATCTCATTTGATGATTTAACAAAAAAACCAAAAACTCATACTGTTGTTTTATGCAAAAAAGGTCCTGTATCGTGTATGGATAAATTTGGTTTTTTGATTATTGACCCAAGTAATTCAGAATTTAGTGAACATTTGGGGCTTTTTGGGGTTAATAAAATTATTGGTTCTTTATTAGAAACAGATATACAACTTGAAGTAAGTGATAAATCTTACAAAATTTATGAGCAAAATAGTAAAATAGGAACTGGGCTTGCGTTCAACAAGTTTAGAGATTGTATTGATATAGCTTTTAAACTGTCAAAAGATTTTAATCAAATGCCTGAAGAAAATATGGCTTTTGATACCAATGATAAATTACCAGTTATATTTGATGGTTTTGAAGCAAATAATATTGTTGCACATGTTACAAATAATAAAATGTTGGATAATACTATAAGTAAAGAGTTATGCACTCCAAATTTTTTAGAATATCCATTTAGAGGAAAACAATTAATAGATAGTAAAAAGGGTATAGAGTTATATAATAAACAGGTGTTGTTATGTAAAACTCTATTTAATAAAATAAATAATATTGAAGATGTTAGCATTATTAGTGCAGTTAATGATATTAGAGTTAAGATTCTGAATGCAGAAGTAATAAATTCTGAAGATTTAGATATATTTGTAAAAAATTTAAATAAAACTATATTAATGCAAAATGATGTAAAGTCTTTGTGGAATATTGCTATTACTGAAAACAGTGAAGATCAAGATATGGTAGAGATAGCTGGTCAAATAAGTAAAGGTTTTGAAGAATATTATAATGAAAGTATATAGGAGGTAATTTATGAAAGACAAAATGTATTCAGGCTTAGCGTTTGTATGTCAACTTGGTAACAACGTTCTAGTAACAAAGTATTTATCTAATAGTGATACAAATAGTAGTTATATTGATATACTATATGATAGTGGAATATTTTTAAAAACAGCGATTTCACATGATAATCCATCACTGGTAAAGATATTGTTGAATTACATGTATGATACTAAGCAAATCAATCCTGATCCAAAGGATAATAATACTGATCAGTCAATCAGATATGATGAACTGCAAAATATTTTAAGGCAGTGTAAGAAAGAGTATAAGATTTCTTCTGAAATCGAATCTATTATAGAGGATATCTGTTATGAGCATACTGACGAAGAAGATAGTATGGATATGATAGATTATATAGAGGATTTAAAACAAGAGGACTTTTCATATCTGATTGAAGATAATAGTACGAAGGATAGCCCAGAAAGAGAGTTACTGGGTAAGGAAGAAGTTACTCATATAGAGGATTTTCATTAAAATTTGGTTAGCTGGGTGTTGCTATTTGGGTCTGTACCATTGATTGTGTAAATTCTTATAAGATAATACCCACTCAAAAATATGCAATTTTATATGTGTATTATATCAAAATACTATATTTAGTTGACAGTATTTTAGCA